TTAATTTGCACAGCATTCTTTTTGCTTCACTCTCATTTATATGTGTAACCGTTTGCCTTGGCAGCAAGACCCTGTGTGACATGGGTAGGGCACAAACATGCATGTGTATACCAAAAACAATCCTCACTCCCTGTAGGAAGTACAGGGATTAGCTTTACTTAAATATCTCTGGGGCCATCATCACTATGTTGGCTCTTCAAGCGTCCCTTTAGCAACAAAAGTCTTTCTACCTTCTACCTAAAGGAGAGAATTCTGGTTTTGGCCTTTAAGTTCCCTTGTGATTTTTTTTTTTTCCCACTTTTACTATAGTGCTTTAGTGAAGCACACCGTTTGCCCTCAAACATTTCTTTGACGTGACGCAGAAACAAATGCAGGTATGTAATCACCAAGGCCAGAGCTCCTGGGACTGAGATATGTGTTTTGCGTGCTTGTACTGGGAGATGCTCTGTTTTGTTGCTTGGGGGATGCAAATATGCCTTTCAAATGTAACTGACTTTGCTTCTTACCAACGACTGGCACTGGCCTTATGCAAATATCTTAAATCTAACATAAAGCAGTTCAGTGGTCTGGACTCGCTGACATTTATTTAATTTTTCTGTGAAGTTCTTGTTTTTGAATTCCCTGACCTCCTTTCCAAAATAAGGGAGTAAACTTCCCCTTTAAAAAGTTGTAGGTGAGTTGTAATGTTTCATTGGCACTATGTGGGTCAAAGTAGCATTGATTCCAGGAAGCCCTTCTGATTGGCCCCATAAAGCAGGTTACATGATGTCAGAGGTTTTTGAAGAAAGCAGACATGTTGACGTGGGTTTCAGTTTTCATGGAGAAAGAGATGGCCAGAATACACAGAGCCTGTGTGGGGTTTGATAAGATCACAAGAGCATGCTGGTGGAGGGCGTAAGAGTTGGCTGCTTGGGTAGTTACCTATGTGAGCTGAAGGGGCCTTGAAGCGTATGCTGAAGTGGGGAAGTAGCAGTTGGACTTGCAAAGTGGTAGGTTGCAGCATACTGATCCCGTGAGGAAAATTGCATCATATGCTGTAGAGCTGTGCCATGGTCAGTGTAGAATAAGTGAGCTGCTGAAACGAAGACTTATTGTCAAGTTTGGCCTTGCTTTAAGTCTGATTTGAAATGTCTTGGAACCAAATATAGTATTTTAATGTTTTCTTGTGTTTTATTTGTGTGTTTAAAAAGAACAGAAGGTATTTTAAACATGGATATATATGGATGTCATAGGATTTAATTAGAGCGTCACCCTTCATTTTTCCGTCTTTACAGTTTTCTTCTGCACAGCGCAGGGAAATTATATTGATGTGAAGCGCTGGTGATATAATTGTCTGACAACTATAGAATCACTTGCATCATGTGTTGTCACTCTTGCTCGAACAGTTCATGGATACATTTTATTGGTCATTCTTTGAATTTCCCTTTGGTCCTACAAGCAGGTCAAAGTTTGCACGTATCCAGTGGCGTGACACACAATCTGCCCAATACACTGACCTTTGTGAGCTGCTAGGCTTTACATTGCTAAGAAATATTTCATCGACAGTGTCCCCTTGTGGATGAATTGTGAGCATGCTGATAATCTCTTTTATAATTTCAAAAAATATTATCAATCAGTATCCTAGTTTTCTGGCTACATAAGTATATGGTGCAACATTTCATTGCTTGTTGAAACACTTCCATAGAGCTGTAACGTTTAAGCCACGTACTGTTATTGCTGGAGAATGAATATGCTGTATTTGAAAGTGCTTCTGAGACCTACATCCCACAAAAAGCACTTGCCTCTGGACATGTCCCGCTTCCTCCCTGTGTAGAGGTGATTATTCATAATGTGAGTGTGAGTGATTCAGTGACATTCACAGATTCATCTCCCAGAGAATGAGGCCAGCTTTAGGGAAAGAATATTCAGCAGCAACTATATCTATCAGAGCATTTTGAATACTTGATTTCAAGCTTGTCATTTATTCGCCGATCTGTGAATAAACAACGGGCTGTGTCTGTTTTTCGTCAGTGCACACAGTCCTTTCCCTTTCACATCAGGCCATCTGTAGTCACTGTTATACTTTTGTTGCAGCCATTACCACATGTTCTATTATGAAATCCTTAATGGGTTCATAGATCCAGTTGCAGAAATTGTGCTACTGTTGTTGATGCTGGTGGAGAGACATTTGTCAAGGCTGGGGGGTTAAATTAAAATCATCCAAACATCCAAGGATAATTTTCAATCCAACCTACAGAGTTCAAACTGGACAAACAGGTCCAGAAAAGGAAGTTCTAGATACTCATCATAAACGTCTTAGCTAGAAACGACTACTGATAGGATTTTAATTCAAACAGCGTTGTTGATTCTGCAAATATATCAGGTACTTGATTGATCCGTTGTAATGTGAAAAATAAAAGCAAATCCAGGTAGTGTAGATGAAAATGCATGCATGCATGTCATGCAATTGTGCAAATGCTTCAGTGTAACTGCTTTGCAATGTGCAGCTCGCGGAAAAAGATGCTAGAAATAATGAGGGGAATTTTGATGGAATGGATTGTGTCGGGTATGGCACTTTGCATGTCATCTATATTGCAGCATAAAGTTGGATAGTATGTAAATGGCTTTTATGACTCCTTATCCCTGCCCTCCAAATAGGGGCGATTTAAGTCAGGGGTCGGTTAAAAGCCAATTAAATTGTGTATTTCCAATTCTCTGTCACTGCTTATTTTAAAAGCCTTACAATAGGTACACATCTGTAATGTAGAACTTGAGGGAAAAGAAAGTGTGTTGGGCTTTATACGGATGTGCTGAAACCACAGAGTCTGATGTCAGCGCGCACACAGGAAGTCTTTATATTTTTGCCTTCTACCCAAAGTTTCTGCTTCTGCCTGAAGCGGTTCCTGTGTCGTTACACATTGGGCTGCCATTCAGAAATTCACATTAATCATTCAGATTTCAGTGCAAGCTCTGAAGATTTGAAAAGGTAGATGAAACGGATTTGATGACTACTTATACTTAAGAGGTTTGCAGTTGAGAATTAGTAAGTAGATGGAGTCAAAAACGTGGCTACATGGTCATTTCTCTCTTGTTCCTCAAGGTTTAAGACACCTTTTCTGTTTAAGACTCGTGGGCCTTACTGACAGGTTTGATTTGATGTATTTAGTTGTGGATTTTCAGGTAGGCATGTTTTCGGTGCTTCAAGTGATGGTGTATTCTCATGGTTTCATTGCATACTCTCTCTCCTTTTTTTTTTTTTTTCTCAGGTTAATGTTGTTTAAAAAATAACTTTGCTAACTGTTCATATTGTCTAACCATTACCCTTCACTCTCTCTTGCAGTAAGGTTGGGTGGCCATGGACCCTTTCAACCAGCTTATTCTCGTCATCTCGGTGACCAGCTTCTTCACCTTCCAGTGGCTCTTCCACAAAGTCAGCCCCTGGTTGTCTGTACGCATCAGTCCTGGCTTCCTTGGCCTCAGCGACAAGCAGAAGGTGGAATGGAACTCGAGGTGACCGAACTCTTACTCTCACTTGGTCATGAGTATTTACTTCCACTGGGCTGCATGGAGTGTGACACTGTTCTATGTTTAACAGAGGATGATTTGTTTTAGCTCTGTCCAAACATGTCTACTAACATTAAACCCACATATTTACAGTGGCACTCAGAGAAGACTCACATGTAGGATTCATTGCGATATTTTCTCTACAGCTATTGTGTAAGGTTCCAGCAACATGGGGGAGATTAACTAGATTGGTATTCCGAATGATCAGACTAAACTAGCCTGGTACAGCTTCCATGAATCTTGCTCTTACATGTCCTGTTTTTGCTGAGTTCATTATCCGTGAGAGCACTTGTGAAAGCAGAATGGCTACGTGATTTTAAAGTGGAAATCAAAATGAATTATTACTGGAAAGGGATACAGGCTGGGAATTCAGGGATCCCTCTTAAATTCCATGACTTCACAGTATTGTATTTATACAGTGGGGCTGTCAGGGTCTGTCTGACTGCTGAGGGCCGTGGACTGTCTCACTGTTTGAGTGATTGAATGGGACTGTGCGCCGCTCTGTCTGACCCTTCAGCAGTGTTTAATCTCTTAGTTTAATTGGTCTGAATCTGTGTGCAGTCGTGACAGGCAATCAGTTGATCCACGGTGAGTACTAAAAATTCCTCTGTCTGAAGTACAGACCAGCTTCAAGGGACTTTTAATGAATAGAAAGTATATTATCCATTACTGTGTCATCATCTGCCCTTTTCAGGGATGAGCAGATAATCAAGGCTGTATGTTTTTTCTCTCTTTTTATTTCAGGACAGTATCAACGTTTCACGCCTTGTTGGTGGGAATATTCTGTCTTTACATTCTGTTTTTTGATGATGCTGTCAATGAAGATCCAGTTTGGTAAGAGTTTTGGCTTGGAAGTTAATTTTTTTTTTCTCAAAAGTTTTGGTTTATTTCATAATGAAGGTTATGTTTTTCTGCATTAATGTCCCCTTTGCGTAGTTAAAGATGCCTAATACTGAAGAGGTGTGCAAGGGAGACAGCTTCTGGTTTGTGTCAATATCAAATAGTGAGCATAATTGTTTTAAGTTATAATGGTTACAATATTTGGCTAATCAGGCGATTACCTACCTACTACAGTCTTTGTGCTAAATGTGTAAAACTTATTTATCTGAGTTTTTATCTGTATCAGTTATGCTATTAGTAACCCTGCCCTGCTCTTTATTGGACTGGAATTACTCTTTAGTGTTGGAAGCCAAGTCTGTGTATAGCTTAAGCTAGTGTTAGGTTTGTAAAAGGACAGTCTTCTTTTCCTTTGTAAAAGTGAAACATTGGTAGCTGT